GATGTAAGATGTACCGAGTCAATGCGCCCAGCTGTGGTGGGGCTAATTGAGCTTAAAGCGCATAACAAACATAGTATCAGCACACATGATACATTTGAAGAAGAATATTTATATGCATATATGTTAATACTTACCTATTTAATGAATAGTCCCATGCATAAAATGGCTGATTGACTACGAAAGATGTAAGATGTACCGAATCAATGCGCCCAGCTGTGGTGGGGCTAATTGAGCTTAAAGCGCATTACAAACATAGTATCAGCACACATGATACATTTGAAGAAGAATATTTATATGCATATATGTTAATACTTACCTATTTAAGGTAATAGTCCCATGCATAAAATGGCTGATTGACTACGCCAAGTAGAGGTGCCCCACTTGATACACTGTACATTCCTATCAGAACACACACACTCTGAAGACCAGATGATGCGATACCAAACACTCCAGGTTTCTCCCATTGACCATTCACATATTCTGAGGTGGAATCTATTTAGAGACATAATTTTCAAATGAAAGAAAGATGCATCTTTCATGTAAAGTTTATTAAGTGTATTTAAAACCAATGTTACTTAAAAAAAACAAAAACTTTATAATCAAGTTTCTGCAAGAATGGTCAAACAATTACACAATAGACAAATTTTTTGACCACTTATATTACAGTAATTATTGTTTTACTTTGACATTACAAAAACAATAAACTGTAAATCACAGGCCACCATATTTAACAAAATAAAAGGGAAGAAAATCATGAAATCCCTAAAATCCATTCCATAGAAATAAATCTTGTACTCAAATTTATTTATGACATGTGACAGGGATTTAGTTTAAAAGAAAATTTTCAACGAGAACTTCCCAGCTGATGTATGTTTGGAGGTATTATCCCCCTTTACTCTACTTGTGTTAACTTTTAATTATTTTACTTCTTCAATTAAATGTTTAAATTTTAAGCTCTTAAATTTCTAAGAATTTTAACTTTGGATCAGAGTAACAGTTAACAAAGTGAAGGTTTTTGTATTGAAAGCTGCTCTTTTACTCTAAATATCAGCTGTAAAAATAAAGTTATTACTCGTGAAAATAATAACCAATCTGTTGAATAATTTCACACTTATAGGGTATGATCTTGTATTCACACCTGCGAGGCATGATCTTGTATTCACACTTACAGGGTATGATCTTGTATTCACACCTACAGGGTATGATCTTGTATTCACACCTGCGAGGCATGATCTTGTATTCACACTTACAGGGTATGATCTTGTATTCACACCTACAGGGTATGATCTTGTATTCACACCTACAGGGTATGATCTTGTATTCACACCTACAGGGTATGATCTTGTATTCACACTTACAGGGTATGATCTTGTATTCACACTTACAGGGTATGATCTTGTATTTACACTTACAGGGTTTGATCTTGTATTCACACTTACATGGTATTATCTTGTATTCACACTTACAGGGTATGATCTTGTATTCACACCTACAGGGTATGATCTTGTATTCACAATTACAGGGTATAATCTTGTATTCACAATTACATGGTATTATCTTATACTTATTCATTACATTTTTTATAATTAAGGGCTTTATATTAGTAAGCAAGAGCAACTGGTCCTACTAATTATTGCAAAGTACCTCAAATAAACACAAATACATGTGCAGTAAGCTCCAATATTCTCAGTCATCAGTTATGCAATGATACACCCTTTTGTTAGTTATTCCAACAAGTGGCAACAGATTCTGAATGGTTAGTACAAAACTTAAATAAAATGGCTAAGTAAGTCATTACTCTGTAGATTGTAACAAGTTACCTTGCTGTAATTGGCATTGTCTAAGCATTTAAACAGCAGTTGTTCAGAAGAATATAAAATTAGCTGATCTCACAGTACTTTGTGATTATTTTGTGGTAATTAGTAGATTCACTACGAGATTTGTTCAGTTTGCAGACGAGTCACCCTTGTGGTTAAAAACAAAACTAGTTCAAATACGATCTAATGATACAATGAAAGTAGAAAAACAATTCTTTGAAAAACTGTATTTATCTTGTTGTGATCCTGATTTCATTAATCATCATCATCATGAGACAAACTGCTAAAAAGAAACCTGTACATCACAGATACTTGTTTGTTATATTCATCTTGGCACAATAAAAAAATAAAATTAGTTCATTTTCCCATCTAACTCCCACTACTCAGTCTGCTCATTAATCATTACATTTTCCCATCTGACTCCCACTACTCAGTCTGCTCATTAATCATTACATTTTCCCATCTGACTCCCACTACTCAGTCTGCTCATTAATCATTAGGAAAAATGATTTGACTCCCACTACTCAGTCTTATAATTAATCATTACATTTTGCAATCTGACTCCCACTACTCAGTCTTATAATTAATCATTACACTTTTCCATTTGACTCCCACTACTCAGTCTGCTCGTTAATCATTACATTTTCCCAATGCTTTTGATTGAACTTAGGAATCAATATGGCTTACCATTTACTGATATAAACAAGAATTTTACTTGAGTATGCCTAATCTAGGATTCTTAACTTTACCTGTCTCAAACCTACCATATTTATGTTTTCAAAACATAAAACAATAAATAGTTTGATTTGGTTATTTATAATGAACTAACAGCTGAAAAAATTTTAAGGAGTACAAACTTACCAATAGGGTCAATCCAAATGCCAATATCATTTAATGGGAACTGAATGGACGAATCTAATCTAGGTTCAACGACAGAATTGTTAATGTCTTCATGAACCAAATCAGCTAACAATGCAGCTGCATTCTTATTACCATCCAGAACTTTAGCAAGAAGGTTTTCGGTTTCAGTTCCAGTGGCCATAACTTTGACACAGATAGATTCTCCCAGCGTATTTGTAAACTGGTTGCTCTCTTCACCTCGAATACTCTCTTCGATTCCTGGGAACTTAAGATAACACGTACTTTAAATTTTACGTCAAGTTACAAAAAATAAGGTTCAGTACCCTCACATTATATTAAATTGCTGAATAACTTTAACAAATTATGAACATCACAATAATCAATTTCTTATAAAGTCAAGACAACATTAATCTAAATAGCTATAACTTTTGTTTTTGTAGGGTGGGGAGAGATGATCTTCAATAAAATATGTGGTTCAAAAAAAATGACAAAAAGATATTTTATATACAAACAACAAATAACACAAGTCTCTTAGTTTTCTTTCTGTAATATAAATATCTAAAACATAGTGTTTAAACATAAATAGAAATTTTCAAACACATACATACAAAACCTAGACTTAGACAAGGGCACTCTATCAAATTTACACTTAAGGTTAAGATTTATTATGTATAAAAGTCCAACCACTACATCTGTATATTCAGCTGTTATCAATTTCTAGTTAAACAAAAAAAACGTTCTTGCCAACGATATAACTCAGAAAATTTTAAAGTACAGAGAACATTAAGTAATGCTATTAGAATTGAATTATATGGTAATACATGTGTATCGTGATTGAATGACTCATCTTTCAAAATAATGTACAGTAATGTTTTTGTTAGCTTTATACAGTACATGTCATATTATAATCAGTAGAAAATGTAACAGTTTGAAACCTTAAAAAGTTAGCTGAAGTTTGAGAAAAAAAATTGTAGATAATAAACTAACCAGATCAGTCAACATTCTATAGACTTGAAGCATAATCATGACTTTTTCTTGTTCTGCTATTAGTTAAAGAAAAAAAAAGCTTTCATCTAACTATTACATCGAAACAGCACATGAGAATAACTAGGCTTAAAAGAAGTGAGAATAAGTTGCAAAACAGGTTGGATGGACATGGCAATAATGTTCTTTTATGGCTGAAGATGCAAAACTGTGTCCATCTGGTGGTAAAATAGTTGGAAATACTGAACCAGTCAACTGACGAGGGAGAACTATGAACAAGAAATTTAAAAAATGAGAGAGAAATAAGCAGAATATCAAGGAAGTTCCAGGGTAAACAGATCCTCATCAAAATAAGGTTTTTTCAAACACATAACCCACAAGTCAAAATGCGATAACTTCTGACAGAGCCAGTGCCACAGAAAGATCATGGAATATAAAACTACTGTATTAACTATATATATAGTAAATTCAAATCAGATAAAAGGTAGAAAATTATGTGTACAGAATCATATTCAACAAAAAAAAGTTATATCGAGGGAAATATACGAATTAATTCTCGATTGAAGCCCATAAAGGTATTGTCCGTGTAGATGCTGGGTGTGAGTGTATGTAATATCACATAAAGTTGAACAGGAAGAATTACAAACGATAAATCGTAAGGGGAAAAGTAAATGTATAAAGAGGAACCAAAAAAAGATACTTAGAATACTCAGTACTTGTGGAAACTTGCCAAGCATAAATTTTGATGCACGCAAATAATATTTTAAGTAGACAACGAAAAAGTTGCATTATTTTGGTTTAAACTTGTATACACATATTCCATGTAGGTTTAAATATTATTTCAAAAGTAAGGGGAACAAACATTATTCACACAATTCTCAACTGAAAAACAATACAGGGAAAAACATAACAGCTATTCACGAGAGATCAACAAGAATTAGAAATACTTACTCTTTTTGAGACATCATGACGTACACATTCTTGTACAAGTACATCAGCCAAGGTTTTGAAATCCTGAAAAAAACGTTTATTTTTCTCACCATCTTTCTTTTCTTCAACCAATAATGAGAATAGTGTACTTTCTCCACGACATGCACGGGCTATGTTTGCAGCTTTTTCGGATGCATTCACCAACGTCTGCAACAGCTCCTGTGCTTTCACTAACTGTTGTTGTTCAGTTCCCATTCTAATACTCGATTTGGAAAGCTGAGTAGAAACAAAAAGTAAAATTAAGAGTCTATAAAAAATACATGCATATCTTAGAAATCTCATACGTTTCAATCTTTTATACAGATAACACAAATATATTAAAAACAGTGATGTCTAACAGAGTTCTATGCAAACAATATAAGTTTATATAATATAATAGATTGGGCTTCATATTTGTTTTTTAAAACAAAGTTTGTTGTACACATTACTGTAACACATAGGAAATACAACAAAAGCCATTAACACCAAATATCATTAAGTTAATTTTCTGGTAATTTTTCAGGTAGTTTCACACAAAGTTTGTTGTACACATTACTGTAACACACAGAAAATACAACAAAAGCCATTAACACCAAATATCATTAAGTTAATTTTCTGGTAATTTTTCAGGTAGTTTCACACAAAGTTTGTTGTACACATTACTGTAACATACAGGAAATACAACAAAAGCCATTAACACCAAATATCATTAAGTTAATTTTCTGGTAATTTTTCAGGTAGTTTCACACAAAGTTTGTTGTACACATTACTGTAACACACAGAAAATACAACAAAAGCCATTAACACCAAATATCATCAAGTTAATTTTCTGGTAATTCTTCAGGTAGTTTCACACAAAGTTTGTTGTACACATTACTGTAACATACAGGAAATACAACAAAAGCCATTAACACCAAATATCATCAAGTTAATTTTCTGGTAATTTTTCAGGTAGTTTCACACAAAGTTTGTTGTACACATTACTGTAACACATAGGAAATACAACAAAAGCCATTAACACCAAATATCATTAAGTTAATTTTCTGGTAATTCTTCAGGTAGTTTCACACAAAGTTTGTAGGTATATCAGTTTAGAGCTACAACTTAGTGACTTTGACCAAAAGGAAATATCAAACTGTAAAATAAAAATTCTATGAATATTCATTTCAACCATATAGTCTTTTGTTTTAGCATCATTTAACAATGTTTATTGTTATATTGAAAATGAAACCTATGTGACACAGTTGAAAATTAATACTACTATATACTTCATGATGTTGCTAATTTTCAGAAAGAAATTAATACTACTATATTCTTTATGATGTTGCTAATTTTTATTTCTGAAAGTTAATACTTCAATATATATTTCATGATGTTGTTAATTTTATCTCTGAAAGTTAATACAACAATATATATTTCATGATGTTGCTAATTTTTATCTCTGAAAGTTGATACTACAATATATATTTCATGATGTTGCTAATTTTTATCTCTGAAAGTTAATACTACAATATATATTTCATGATGTTGCTAATTTTTATCTCTGAAAGTTAATACTACAATATATATTTCATGATGTTGCTAATTTTTATCTCTGAAAGTTAATACTATTATATACTTCATGATGCTGCCTAATTTTTATCTTACTGTTGACATCAGATTGTATATATTTCAAATTTGTTTTGTTTGTTTGTTTTTGCTCTGCTGTACTTTTTAATGTTGTTAACAGGCTTTCACAACTGACTTGTAACTAATGCATATACATTTTGTTAATTTAAATTCCTATGGGAATTCAGTGGTTAACATATTCGATCCCTGTGACTTTCTCTAGATTAAGAATGTACGTACAGACTTTGGAATTGAAAACAAAGGTAATGTTTAATCACTGTAAAATGTTTAGCCTACACTCAGAGATGATGATACTGAAGAAACACTTTGGTACTTCCTTCAAACTGAAATGAAATAACACAAGTTTCATATGTCAGTCTGCAAGTTCTATAGTTTGAAAGAAAATTAGTTCTAGACGCAGCAACATAATTCATTGTTAACGAAATGTAGTTCTATAAAAATCAAAGGTGTGAAGGATTTGGGTGTCCCACTTTGGTCAGTCTAACCACAAGTAAGAGAAAGACTACGCTACTCTGTTCTTATACCACTGATTTACTTAAGATGAGAAACAAGCAATATTTAAAATATTACATGAAAATGCTTCACTACAAAATTGACTACAGTTTTATGTTTAATTTGTCTCAGCCTTGTGTTGTCTAACCTCGTGGGTAAAAAAAAAAGCGAGTCTAAAGAAACAGACCTTCACAGCCTATCAGCTTTTGAAGTCTGTTTTTAAAAATTAGATCACTTAAACTTATAATTAACTTAGCCCAAATAATGTTCTCTTCCTTGTTCAAATGAAAACCTATAAATCTAACATACTACTCATAAGGATTCATGTGATTTCTAAACCAAGTGTCCTTTTTAACAAACAGTTCTATACATGTACATGTATTTCTTAAAAAGGTATATACATGTAACATGCATTTAACAAGTCATACGCAAACTGTACTAAATAGTCTAAAACATTTACAAGTATATTCAATGAGAACACACATATATACATACTGTAGATCAATTTCTTTAAATACATTAAAACTCACTTTCCATAAGTAATTGTTATTTTTTTACACCTTTAAACTGAGAAAAGTGGTTTGAAGGATTCATTAAAAACATTAAATTATGAGGAGGGGTTTAAAGTAGAAGAACTAGAAGTGATTTGATACAGATTATTAAGGGTTTGGACAATTTGTCTGTGAATGGTCTGCTTGAGTGAGGAAACAGAAGGGCCGGAAATGCAAACTTTAATATTAGGGACAATAAAATTAAGCTTTGGAAACATTTATCAAACAATGCATGCTGAAAATCATTAATTATGTGTCACCTTTTCCAAATAGTTATGTGAAATGCCTGTCATGATAGATTTTGAAAATCTTACTCACAAAAGAAATGTTAAGTTAATTGGTCTTTAGTTACTCAGATCCTCTCCCAACCCCTTTTTGTAAGCAAAAATAAAGATAGATCAAGGTAGGTATTTCTAATAATTAGAATTCTCTAACATGAAGATATGTTTGAAGAATAACAGTTAAAGCCTCCATTATCTCTTTATCAAGCTTTGAAATTTTAGGGTAAACTATAACAGTGTCGGGAATTTGACCATTTTGATATTTTCCAAGCTCTTCTGAAACAAAAAAAAATAAAATTACAAAAAAATCCTCCAACTTTTAAAGAAATTGTTCAGCTTAGGAATATCTCTTACTGCATAAGCAAAAATATTGCAAAAAAAAAAAATGCTTATCACTACATATACAACTACAATATATAAATTGTTAAATAATTTTCATTTTATTGTAATTATATGTACAAGCACAAAAAATTCTTAAAATTTCTCTTCAGTTTAAAAAATAAAGCCATTTTAGTGACAGGGGAGATTTAAGTTTCTAGCTGGTTCAATATGTTTATACATGAAAAGAGAAACCTTGAAATTCTACTGTTGTTACAGAGAACAATGTTTTGGGAAGTTTTAGTATAGCTTTTTTATTTGAGAATAAACATCATCTTGGAATTTTAAAGTATTTAAGCAAATAGTTGGTGAGGAATGTAGTTAAAATTTTTCAAACTTGGGGGTTCTTATTTTCAGAAGGATTCAAAGCAAATTTTAAGACTCTTATTAAGGTGTTAGAACATACTGTCAAAGATTATTTCCAAAAACATTTTGAAGTCTGGAATTTAATGAAAATAAATACATGATTTAAGAGTTAATGTTGTGTATTTTGATTTTTTCAAGAAACCTCTTTTAAGATTCCATATGAAAAACGTTAATTGGAATGTTTTTATGGTTTTGGTGAAAATATTAAAAAAATGCAAAAAAAAACTGAATTGGTGGTAGAAAACTTGTAATAAACAGACATTATTTTCATTGAACAAATGTGAGGTCCCAAGGTAAACTTTTTTTCTTTTTTTTCAGTAGGTAATTATTTGTCTAATGCCATGTAGTTAACTTGAAACATTACCAAAATATACGGATAGATATCGCTTGAAATTTATCATGTAGCAGTTTTGATGGTTCTGAGAAACACAAGAAAGTGCAAGACCATTTCATCACTGCTTCATCCAACTAATCAAAACACCTAAATTAAATGTAGCCCACAATCTATGCCTATCAAAAAAAAAAGATTTTAAAACATTCAAATATGTAAATACATATTACTAGTGACATCATCTGGTAAATTATTTCGCAAGTTTATAACTATGTTAACCAAGAAAATATTGCGAAAGAGGAAGTCTACGTTTCAACGTAAATTTACTATCCCAAACATTAAAGTTCACATTTCTAACCATTTTATCCTACCAATAACACAATATCCTTTAAGTTTAACAAAACTGAAAAATTATATTTAAACAATCCTTATAAGTATTTTAATGTGATAAATTTCAGTTCACGACACAGTAATACTAATAATACCTAATGCCATAGTAATTCCTTAAATTTTCTAACAGTAACAGCACATACATTTATCTTAAGGATTTCTTTAACTACTGCGTTGTATTAAAACTATAAGCTAAAAAAAATCAAATTAAATTTATGTTAGATCCTACATTACTGCACTGCTTCAATTACAAATATTCTGAAAATTAAAGCATTTTGAAGTCTACATTGATTGTAATTTGTACTGTGTTATGATACAATTATTATTAATTATAAATTATAACTGAGCGTAATGATCCAAGAAATGTCTTAAATTGTTAAAAAGTAAAATATAGTTAGTAAAATTCTGATTTATAAACTTTGATTAAACTCACATTTCTCAGTTCCTATTAATACAATACGAAATCTCCTTCAAAATATAAGTTACATATAACCTGATATTACACTATCAGCATCACTATATCATTTCTTATTAGACCAGAGTATTTACACCAGAATATGCCAAGCCTTCTTCAACACGTAATTTCAATCGTCGTACGTCAATCACCACCACCACCTGATTTTTATATGTGTTGACGTCACAGTTGCTCATTTTCTACCACACCAAACAAATAAATAAAGAAGTTAAGATGAAAATTTTTGAAACAAAATGATAGGACTATGATATCAATAATTATAGTGTCAGAGTTTAGACAATAAGAAAATATAAACATTTCATTGCTTGAAGGTTCAAAAAGTTTGAGACAGAATTCCATATTTTTTCCATTCATGTTAAAAAATGGGGGCGTGAAAAGAATATGACGTCATATACTTCACCAAATAAATCATAAACATCGTGGTATGTAGTACTTCAACCTGAGCGGCACTTTATACAACACGTGAGCTTAAATGGCCAGGTCAAAGACTGTTAGGTTCTTGAACAGCCATTTCTTTTTTTTTTTCTTTTCAGGACCACTTTGCAGAGGGATGATTCCTCCCAGTAGCACAGCCGTATGTTTGCGGACTTAAAACGCTAGAAAATGGGTTTCGATACCCGTGGTGGGCAGAGCACCAATAGCCCTTTGTGTAGCTTTGTGTTTAATTACAAATAACAACAAAAACAGAGGGATGATAACTACACCGCCTACATAGCTACTCTTAATTGAACATTGAACAGAGGTGCTGATTTTAACGGTTATAACGCTCCCACAAGTCGAAGTCCGGTGCATGCTCAGGAACACTTTATGTCTCGAACCTTGGACCTTCAACCCATAGTGGTTAGCATATTCAGACTGTGGTTGCCACAAAAATGTGATATGCACTTTGGGGTCATGGTGTGCTAAACGAGTGATGGTCAGATCCACTATTCAATCAAACAAGATAACCCCAAAATTGGTGGTGGGTGCTCTTAACTATCTGCATCTCCTCTAATCTATTCATCCAAAATCAGTGACAGTTATGCACAGGTAGTTATTTGTATATATTTGCGCGAAACTTTCTAAACAATACTTCCGACTAGCAGCCAAGCACGAGAACCTAGTTCACACCTGGCCAAACATCTGATGACCTAAGGCAGTGTACTCATAGAGGCATTTTATGGTTTGCCTGTTACTCAGAATTAAGATATAATGAAGATTTTTATCAACTCTTTTATAATAAATTATTACATAAATATAATGAAGCAAAAAGCAGAAAGTTTGCTCCTAAATGCTGAAAACAGTGCCAGTCATGTTGTTTTTGCTGCCATAGACAAAAACAAAGGTATTCTGCCGCCCTAGGTAAGATATTGAGTTTGTGTAAGTTAAGACTAATTACATGGAGCGGAACTAAAAAGTACTATTTTACATCATATTAGGTAAAATATTAAAATGTGCTCTTGAGTTTTTGTAAGCTAAAACTAATTAAATGGCAAAGCACTAAAAACAAGTTACCACTGTTCCACCAGGGGACTAAAAAGAAGTACTATTTTACATGATACAGTGGTACATGAATATATCACGTATTTCTATCTTCTTGTATAGTTATAGTATTTATTCTGAATTTATGAGTTATTCTGTAAATGTGCCAGTTTCACATAACACGTGGTCAAGAAAGCCCTTAAGTTGATTTCGTCTTAGGTGCTTTTGTTCCTTTGTTATTCTCGAGGAAGTTATACCTGTTCAGCCCTGGAGAGGAAGGAAGATAATACTGCTATTTGTACAAGGGTGCCGACAGTAATGATCTTAATTCTTTATGATAGTTTAGGCGATATCTCAAGGTTATAATCTCACCTATGTTCGAATGAGAACAACCAGTCACGTGGATAGCGCCATTTACTTTGGTAAATACAAAGTTTCTGGCAAACTATGTAATCATGGATTTATTCAGTTAAGCACATGGATTCAGTTTGAACAGTTGAGTATACAAAATCCAGTATTGAAGGAGCGAAAAGAATTGTACGTTTCACAAATATTTCATTTATTATGACAGGTTATTACATATTGTTGCGTCAGCGGAGGTCATGTGACTAGTATCACGTCACGTCCTCCTCGAACATTCACGTCCCTTCCTTAAATCTTGGGATTCTTCTAGATATAATGTAGTCTTGTATATATAAGACCGGCTACGAAGCGACGGGGATAATGTGTAATTGAACTGAGTATTGTTGAGTCGAGCACGTGAGACGTTTGTTGAGAATTATAGCGTTTGTTATAGCGTGACTGTTGAACTTAAGTGTATCGCAAAGTTATATTCAGAAAGAATAAACCAGTTTTATTTAAGAAAGGACTTGTGTCGCTAAAGTTTCTTCGGAACGAATTTACGGAAAATTAACTAACGAACGGAGGTGTAACAATATATTATGGCTTAGGAAAACTGTACAATAATGGGAGTCAAACAAAATTCACTGTTTGCCTTATAAATTATAGGTAATAAAATTATTGGTCTAAAATGCCCTCAAGATGTTTAGGTGATGTTAGCATGGTATTTATGTTTATTGCGAACCAACAACATGCTTCAATAAACCAACGTCCACAATCTAGATGGTCAGGAGGCCTTTGGCAGAGATTGTGTTTTGATTAGTTTGGTTTATATTTAACATGTACCAAATTATTAATAAAGTATTATATTTCGAATCGAGAAGGATTAAAGTATTAACAAGTTACACAATGATATAAATCACAGTGTGGTACATTTTGCTATAACATCAGCTAATAGAAACGAGTTAATATTGTTGTAAGCTCCATTTCAGTGTTTTGATTTAGAGAGCACATAAAGTTAAGGGTTAAATAAGCTTGTTTGTTTTGTAATTAAGCACAAAGCTACACATTGGGCTATCTGTGCTCTGCCCACCACGGGTATCGAAACCCGGATTCTAGCATTGTAAGTCCGCAGACACACCGCTTTGCCACTGGGGGGGGGGGCGTTAAGTAAGCTTATAATACCTATAAAGTTCACAATAATATAAATTTAGTAGGTTCGACTAATATCTAGACATGGGTATATTAATTGTAAGTATGAGTAAGCAGTTAGTTAATGAAATATTCAGTGTATGAATGATCGACTAGTTGTTGATTCAGAGAAGTTACGTCTCTGGTCGTTAGTTAATTTCCCGCATAATTTCTTTCCGATGAAACTATAGCGACACAAGTCCTTTCTTAAATAAAACTAGTTAATTCTTTCTCAATTCAACTTTGCAAAACACTTAATTTCCACAGTCACCTTAACTTTAAAAAAAGCTATAATTTCGAACGAACAATTCACGCACTTTACTTACTACCGCGCTTGACTCAATTGTCCGTCTATATCAGGGGTCACCAAACGAGCGCATAACCATTTTGTTCAATACAATACAGTGAATACACAAAAAATAAAGACAGCAAACATGTTTATTTTCCAAGAAGTTATTAAAGAAGGCGACGTTACCAATAAGATAGTTATGTCACACCCAGTGCGCACATATTCGAATCTCGCAAACTAACAACAAAAAAGGTTTGTGAGATTTGTGAAACTGGCGTTTAGCTTTTGAGATATCATCAATATTTGCTTTGGAATTGCTGCATCCAACCAAGATAATTGCTTTCAAATGTTCATCAATCAACCTCGTTCGATGTGCTGACTTCGCATAATTCATTTTAAAAAATGTTTGCTCACAGACATAAGTTGTTCCAAACACTGATGCCGTACCAGAGGCAAATTTCTTCAACTTTGAAAACTCA